TTCAGCATATACATAATTTTTTAACAGTTTACTCAATTGTAATTAATATAGTAAACCAAATACTACCTTGCCAGTAAGGTAAAAGGAAGAGTATGGACCTTTTCTTCCATCTCCATTGATCACTGTCTTCTCCGTACTCTTCCTCTGAAGTAACCGCATCTCCCGCTCTCTTCCTCTTACTTTTCTTATCCAAAGTTCTTCCAAAATCATTCTTGAAATCTTTAAGTATCTCAGCAATCTCTGCCCCAGTCTGAATTCTATTAGCTGTCCCATTCTCCACAGTGTTGTCAAACCATCCTTTTTTGCGCCTGTACGGATGTCCAGTCCTGAGCCTCTTCCTATTGCCCAAATAGACATATTTGCTACTAAACTTCAACCACCTCCTAGGTGTGTCCTTTCCACAAACATTACAGGCTTGTTTCCCCTTAACCTTACATCCAGACAATGTCCCTAAGGCTGGATAGTCACTGATACTCCACAACAACAAAGCTCTAAGTGTAAACTTCTCTTTCATAAAGGAGTCATAAACCTCCATACCTTCATTCCATAAATCAAGCAAATCCTCTATCAGCGGTGCTAGATAAACATCGATGTTGTTGCTTGGTGCAGTTGGATCAGGGATCAGCAGCGTCAACATGATGTTCTCGGCCTTCATACACATGGTTGGAGGCATGTTGTAGTTGACTAATAAGACTGACCATGTACTGTATTTGGTATTCTGCATAGAGAAAGGGTTCATTCCATCGGTAGATAAACCGAGTCTTAGGTTTCTTGGTTCTGCAGCAAACTCTTGCGACTTATTATTGACCCGTGCCCATGTAATAGAATCCACTGGATGTCGCATTATACCATCTTCACTACCATTGTTGACATGCCAACGCAAATCCTCAGCCATTCTTTTTGATCTAAACATCCTTTTCAATCTGTCCTTGATTGGAAAATACCGAAGGACCTTTGCTGGAATCCCCTTCTTTTCCTCACCACTTCGTTTATCAATTTCCCATCTTGATGCACTACATCTTGGGCAGCTTTCCATCTGAGCATACTGCTTCCTATACAGTATACAGTCGTTCTTACATGCGTGAATGAGATCGTAACCAAACCCAAAAACCTTCAAGAACTTTTTTCATCTCAGAAGTGGACTTTGGAAGCACATTATCTTCTGGCAACATGTCTTGAATTGTGGTCAATAGCTGATCAAAGAAGTTCTCTGACATACCACTCTTCACTTTGATGTGGTAAAGGACTGTTATTGCAGAAACCTTGTTGTGCTTGTGACACGTAGAGTAGAGTGGAGTTTCAGCCTCCTCTAACTTCTCCCTAAACTCAGATTCTTCTGGATTCTGCCACTCCTCCGATGGTTGTTCAGCTCTTACTTCAGACTCAAAAAAAGCTATCCTCATCAAGTCATAAGCCTCTTCCTCTGTAGTTGGAACTTCCGCAGATGTTCTGT